CTTTGCTTTTGACTTAATGAAGAGGACTCTGGTGTATCAGATTGAAGACTGCAGTGGTCAACTAATGATTCTTCTGGGGATGAATGTTTCACTGCAGTAGAAAGGTCAAAACATAGGTTAAATAGATATTTAATTCCACAGTTTTCTTCCAGAATCCAAGCAGATGTCACAGCCCTTCTCTGCTATAATTGTGTCAGAAGCATCCAGAATCCCAAAATGTAAGAAATTCACTTATCAGCTACACCAATAAAGATGAGCTTGAGCTAAAAAAAAAAGGTAAAAGCCAAAGCAGATAAACTGGTTGGGGAAACAGTATCTTTGGTGCACAGTTACTATAATTCCTTGCTTCTCTTGACCTCCACGAGCTGCTCTGTGCTTGACTAAGTCCCAGCTAGAAGAGGCAGCTGTTCCAGCAACATGCAGCTTTCTCCTTTGTCTGATGGTAATGCAAAATGTTCTCATTTGCAAAGGAGGTCTTTGCTTTTCTTTTTGTATTCCCAGAGAAGAAGAAGAAGGGAGCAGTTAATAGAATTGAAGTGTGTTCATCTTATGCTGCTCTGTGATTATGTGCTGGAACTGTAATTTCTTCTGCTATACCTTTTGGAACAGAAATATATGGATACAACCAAGGAGAATGTCACCTGTGAGGTAAGTTATCTAGGTAAGTGCCACAAGAAATTTTTTGTAAAGCTGCAGCTTGTTTTGTAATTTAAAAGATGAAGGAGAAGAATCTGAAGTAGCTTCCCTGCTAACCAAAAGCATGATCTGCATTCCAGGAAGTAGGAAGTCATATAGAGCTTATTTGTCAGTAATAATGAAATAGTTAGTTTTATACTTTAGTGTGTGTAAATTTTATTTGCTGCTATCACAACGCTAGAATATGTGCCAGTGAAGCCACCCTGGGTTTTGTGCTATTACTCAGGCAACAAGAAAGACAGCATTTTAGATAGAAATTCAGGGTGAGGGGGTAAAAAAAGGATGTGGTGACTAAAAATGTAGCATTTACTGAAACTCACAGAATGAGAATTTTCCTAGCAGATACTTTCCAATTAAATGTACAGTGTATCAGATGGTCCAGCTGGTATTCTTGAAGTTTTCAGTTGTAGTGGACTACTGTAAAAATTGTTAGTCTGGATGGTTGAGGCTGTTGTAGCATATTTGTTCCACAAGATATGGACAGAGATGCAAATTAAATAACAAGTCACACGTGCAGTTCTGCCCGCAAAGGTGAAGAAAAACTATTGGCAATCTAGTTTTGATTATTCAGGTACTAAATTTCATGCTAAAATTCAAAATATTTCCTAACAGCTTTTGATGTCATTGGCAGTTGCTACCTGAGTGTTAATCATGTAACTGCAAGCACCACACAGAGATAGAGCAGATTCAACAAAGTACAGGTGCAGAATTTCTCAAACTTCCCTCCCTCTCAGCTGTGTATTCCAAAGCAATAACAGCTTGGCAAGTGTGCATCAGTCTGGAGGGCTGAAAGGCAAGAAAAATATACACGTTAGTAGATGAGTCATCTCTGGAGTTTTGTATTATTGACTTCTATGAGAACAGGATCAAGTGCTGATTCTGTAATAAATCTGTAACTGAAAATTATGCTACTTTTATACATCAGTACATTTCTTGAGTCATCTGCCCTCCTGTCAGGCTGGTCACTGCTTGGTTTAAGCTGTCAAACTGCTGCCCTTCCAGACACACAGGCAAGGTGTTCATGTCTCAGTCCAAGTCTGTCTTTGTGTTTTAGCACTGCAGACTGGATTCAAAACCAAAGTGAGTTATTGTGCAGCCTTGGTAAAAGTAGTGACAAACCTTAAACCCTCACAGCCTCTTACCTGAATCGCTGTCACTCTGCAGCTCTTTTTCAGTCACTGTAATTGTCTTTGAATCTCTTTGGAGTGGAATATTTCAAGTGGGTCTGGACATGCATTTATTGAGCTGTCTGTCTACCAGAATGATGTTAAATTTCACTTTTTTGATATTTTCAAACACAAAAATTATTAAGTTTTGCACCAATCCAAATGTCAATTATTTGCAGAATCTCATGATTTATGAATTTCCTTCCCTCACATCAAGTTTAAAATACATATACCTCAAAATGCAAACCATTCATATGCTCCACATTAAATACATACTTGTTGGTTCTAACTATACTGCAGAAATTAAATACATACTTGCAAATACACAAAAGTGTGTATTTTCTTTTGGTTACTTTATGTTCTCTCTCTGGGTAATGCATGAGAGAGATACCAAAAGCAGCTTATTTCTTTCTTCCTAAAATCAGTTTTGTTAGATCTAGTCAACAATGAGTATTATTTTCATATTTAGGTTTTCACAGCTTTTGTTGCTGTTTGCTATTCAGCAGCTTAATAATCTTTTTTTCACATGTATGGAAATGCTTTGGAGTTAATCAGGATAACAATAAAATATTTTCAATTTATATCTTTCTGACATCTTGGTTCACAATTAACGCCCCTTCTGATGTAGCTTTCTGGAAAAGCTCTGGCAAACCTCCAAAGCTGTTCACGGATGTGGCAGTATCCACCATTAGAGGATATTTGGATAAATAAATACATTCAGAGGCATTTTGTAGTAAACACTTGGAAATCCTTTCAGGGAAAGCTGGAAACTCCCACACTGGTAGTGTGCAAGCAGTCCTATCAGGATTCAGGGATAACACATTTTTTGTCCTGCTGAGGGTCAGCCAGCCAGTTTAACACTCACCAAACATCTCTGTTCAGCTGGGGAGTCTCAGTTGCCTCTGTCGGGTCCAGCCATCAAAACAATTTTTGGTACCACAGCCAGATTCCAAATGGTGTAAGGAAACATGTTGCTCGGTGTCTGGGCTAGTGCCAAACATGAGAATAAAGAGGTTCTGACTTGCTGCTCTCATGAGAGGGTTTAACTGCATGGCACAGCTATGAGATCTCGTGCTGAAATGAACCACCAAGAGAACAGAGCTTCTGAAGGAGTGTGACAGGGATAAAAAGCTGCTTTTTATATCACATGGGCACCTGGCACTGACAGGGTAAGCTGTGGAGGCAAACACTACACTTTGTTCCAGGAAAGGAACTACCTGGCTGACAGAACAAATAAGGAATAAATTTAATTTGCTATAAAGAAGTGAGCTGTGATATTGCTTAGCAAATGTTGACTTGTATTGTATAGTGGCATTCTATATGCCCACAATGCAAAAGTGAGTTGTCACAAAATTTTGGTGGAAGTTTTTGGTGCAGTGTGGTCTGGACAAACATGAAAGTTGTGCTTGGAGAGCAGGACAAGCACGCAGTTAAGGCAGAGAGGCTATCAAGGAATGATGGAGGTGACAGAAGAAGGCAGTCACAGGGGCCCTTTGTAAAAACCATTTGTACCCAGCAGTGAAAGCCAGAGTGCTGGAAGGAGGTGGCTTTTGACCTCGGGAGAGGGAGAAGGGGGATGTGTAGACAGAGGCGATGGCACCAGTGGCCAGGTAGTACAGCAACAAAAAGCATGAAGTGGTATCTGGAAACTTTAATGAAGGACAAAAAGGGGATTAAAAGAAGTGTTTAGAATTGATGGTTTTGTGTTTGTGGGGAACATTTTGTTTAATTTGACTCTGTCTTTGGAAAATTTGGAATTTGGGAATTCTGCTCTATGACAGCAGAATCGTGTTCTTGCCACAGCAGTCATAGTTAAAAACCTGCTTTTGGCCATCTCAAAACATCAGGTCGAGCAGTGGATGGCAATTGAGAGCAGTATGGGATGTGCCCTGGATAACTCCGAGGACGCTTGGATCAAGAGACATTTAAACTACCCAAAGTGAGAGTTAAACCCTGTAAAGCTGCCCGTGAGGCCTTCCTTACAAGGTCTGGGCTGTGGCTGGGAAGCAAAGATGGAAAATATTCCCGGGAAAGGATGCGGAGGACAGGAGGGAGCGGGCTTGGGGCACCACCCAGCGGCACAGCGAGGCTCCGACTCGTCCGGGGAGTTTGAATTGGGAATGGAAATCGGGATTTCGGGATTTCCTTTGTCCACGGCTGGGGTTGGAGATAAAAATCTTAATTTCTACAAAATTGTGTTGATTCTTTATTGCTTCCAAGAACTTCCAAGGAACTCTTGACTTCGCTGGTTTAGTTAAGCACTAGGATAGTACGGATAAATAATACATTGCTCAGAGAGCATTCTGTGGTCTACAGCAGAGAAAAAGGGAGATAAAGAGAAGATAGAATTAAATACTAGTGTTGAACACGTGGAAGAAAAGGAGTCTGCATTTGCAAGAGGGCCAAGAATGGTAGGTGCTATTTTGTTTTTCAGTCTAAAGTGTGAAATACCCAGTTCTTAAAAAAAGCCCAACCACAGACCTGTGTCTTCATACATGAGTCATAAGCCATAAGCACTCCTTACTCAAATTAACTGCCTCACTCTTAAACTCTTAGTTTGCTGGTAATTTTCACTTTAAATTTTCTTAACAGGATGCAAAAAATAAATTATCTTCTGAAATTGGTAATCCACAAACTAAGCTCAAAAGACATGTGACTGAACACTTTTTAAAATGTGAGTGGACAGAGAAAGAAGGCAGATAAAGGTGTCTGTATGCACCAAAAGAACAAGAATGCCTTCCTGTGCCCTCTCCTCCTCCCCCTTTGGACCTGTTTTTTGAGGCAGAAAGGGGAAGCCACAGCCCTGTTTTAAAGGGTGTTGGTGCTCGCTCTTTCTTTCTTTCTTTCTTTCTCTCTATCTTTCTTTCTTTCTCTCTTTCTGTCACTTTCTTCTGTAGAAAAACTTTTTAGCTCTGGCAACTCACCGACAACAAAGAATATTATTTTTGCATTTGTAGTTGCTGTGAGATCACTGCAGAGTTGTTTTAGTTCTTGGGTGCACAATGGATTACTTTGCTTTTGTTTACATTTACTTTTCCTTGTCTTCAAGGCCATGGTCTTCAGCACTTTTGCAAAACACAGCACTGCAGGTTTTTTTTTTTTGGTAAGTTCTTCTGACTGCAAGGAACATTTAATTTCAGTTCTTAGTGGCTGTGCTTCGGTGCCGGAAATGACCGTAGTGATTGAAGTTCCTCATAGGCCCAACACATCAATTGTGTATGAGGAAATGCTCTATCATCCCTGCTGAGTGTCTGCACTGCAAACATGCAACCCCCCTGTGAAGATGAGGACACAGACTTGCTCCTCCAGGCACTACTTGAGGGACAGAATTATGGAACTGCTGCAGCAGATGGAACACAATGTCCATCAGTGTCTGTGTCAAAGAACAATCCAGCAAAGAGGGATTGCCTGGTAGTTGCCGTGCTGTGCTTTGGGAATTTAATAAATTTCATTGATTGGTTCATTGTGCCAGGTGAGAAGCCATTTTACTCTTCTAAAGAAAAAGAAATTTAAGTTCTTAACAGTTCTACAAATGTTTCTAAACTCTACAAATGTTTCTAAAGTAAGGATATGCTTTAGGTCTTTTTCTCATTTATCTGCTTTAGCCTGTTGATCATACTCTTAATGAAACTTCCAATTATAAATCTGGAAAGACCTAGGAGTGATTTATTAGATATTAATAGTTACTAGAATGCTTATAAAAATAAAATAATACTTTAAAATCTATGTCTCTCATAAACAGACTTTACCATACAGAGCAACTGGTCCATTTTTGTGGCTGGATTCTACAGAGATTTGACTCGGGAGCTTCTCTTTACTGTACACAGCAGTTTACAAGGTTTTCTTTGCTAGTATCTAGTAGATTCTATGTGGTATTCCTTTATCTGAAGGATACTGATGCTATAACCTCCATTACAAGTTCAAAAACTATGTCATCTTTGTGATAACTTAGTTATCCATGTTAATTTGCTCTGGGGAGGCTGAACTTCCTTGTGAGCTGCCAGCAGTAGTGTGATTTCTGCAATGAAGAGTGGAACGATTGTGGAAAAAGAAGAGAGATTCACTTCCTTAAGCTTTCCCCTACCCAAGTTATGACTTGTTATCTAATTAATAATATCCTTCCTCCAAAATATAATTTTTAATGATTTTTTTCCCTAGCTGAAAACAACCAAGAGTAGCTTAGAGTAAACTGGAGGGAAACTATGGGGTTTTTCTCACATATAAATTGTGGTCTGTGTAAATTCTTCTATTTAGTATTACTCCTAAGGATCTACCATGCTTCCAGGGATCTGATTTAGAAAATAGGGGAAGCACATGTGAGCTTGCTGTATTTTACTTCTGAGTAAAATATGAGGCCTGAGAAACAGAAATGTTTTAAAACCTTGAAAAAAATGAAAAGATGTATTATTAAATTTGGAATTAATACAAATAGTTACAGTATACAAAGTGATTATTTTGCTACTTAGACCATTCAGAAATTTAGGACATTCAGTCAGTATCTTTAAAAATGGAGACTGTAGTGGGTTTAGGAGTTTGAGCTTGGTTTTTTGAGTGCCTTTTAACAACACAAGAGGGAAGGAAGCAAGTAGGAGTGCAGTAGGAGTGCATGCTGAATGACTCTGCAAGGCTGTCAGTGAAAAAATTCTGTGTATGCCTTCTGTTGTCAAGTAACTTTTCTTGGAGAAGGGCAGGGGACAGAAGAGGATGAAAATATCTTCAAGGAAGAGCTTGGATGCTAGAATGGTATCCTCTTGGAAGGGTTAAGATCAAGAAGCCATTTGGCTCATTCCAGGCTTTGAACTATTCAGGGACTCCTAAACCTGACAAGAGCTTAAAATTTTCCCAACATGCTCCTATGAGTGAGGTACCTTCAGGGACAAGAATTCAAGAACAGAGGCAGGAATAGTGTCCAGGCCTTTGAAACATCTCCTTTAATTATACTATATGACTAAAGCACTTTTTACTTAGTTCTATGACCCCTGGGCCATGGGGGAAGTCTGTAAGCTGCTGTTTATACCACAGCAATACACTGTTCACCTGCTAGAATTCAGTGCCACTGCAAAATTCTTGCAACGGTGCATTTGAGTTTGGCTGTCCAAGTGTATGACCATGTTGTCAGATACCAGCTAACAGGAACAGGGGGAAGGGGAGGTGTGAGTATCTCCTTAGAAGTAAACTGGCAGCAGTTACAAAGTTGTGGTTTCCGGATAGTTTTGTTCACAGGCTTTGACAGTGTTTGCATCACAGAAAACAAGCTCTTCCCCTTAATTGTCTGCTGATTTCAGTTTGTTGAAACTAGTGTCCATGCAGACCTTTCCCCTCTTTTCTGTCCACCAAGCTGTTCAAATCAATGCTTTGTAATTTGCCAGGAAATAGCAGGGTCAGTTATTTTAGTTAGGTGGAGGGGATGACATTTTAATGGTGCTCAATGTAAATGTTAGTTTGAGATGAAGTTGTGGTTCTGTTCAAGTCTTGTTAGCTGTGATTTGTTCTAAATACTCTGTGAGACCAAACCTGAATTCCTATAATACAGTATTTCTGAGCATTGATCACTGGCTGCCAGAAAGGAAGGATACAATTGATTGTCCTGTTTTAATGATGCAAAATGTTTGAATTAAATCATTCATTTAAACTTTTGAAACCATTAGAAAACCCCAAAATATAAAATATGTTCAAGAATCACTGAAAAACAACTGTAAACCTCTGGAGCTGCTGTTAGGCTGGACCTTGATCTACAGTGACTTGAAGTCACATCAGTAAATAATGAGTGGACTGATGCTGCAGCCATGGGGACTGTGGGAGAACATGGATTTACCTTTAAATTAGCTGATCCCACATTGCTTTTAAGTGGCTGGAGCAGTGTAGTTCATAGCATAACATGTAAAACTGTGGGAGAAGAGCTGCCTCTTGCTGACCTCACCCACTCCCTTCTGCTCCAGATGAGCTCCTGTGAGCACAGCAGAGAAATTACACAGAATTTGTTCTCTTACATGGTGGTGGTTTCACCCTGTTAACAATGCTATGACTTTATCTATTTTGGCAAAACTGAAGTGGCATGAGAAGTAAATGTCTTTTTTAATTGATATCTTTCAACACTGGAGTACAGGTATGTTTTTTCAAAGCAGTATCTTCAATTTTTAATTGGTTTTCAGCAGTGTAAATTGTAAATACAAGATAGATGAGAGGAAGATCTGCAGCTCTGGCATGGAATAGAGAAAAAAATGACCTTTTTGTCTTAACATCCACCGTTTTGTTCCACAATTGTGTCCATTAAACTTTGAACTGTAATTTGTTCATGTAGTTAGGTGCTAATGGTGCAGAAGAAGCAGAACAGATGTGTAAACTGACTCTCATAAGACCCTTATAGTGGAAGATCATTAATTTTATCTATAGGGATAAGAATTTTTAATTTTCTGTACATCTTGTGGTAGAGTAATGGCTTACACCTGAACTAAAAACTAAATGTCCTGCAGTTCTTGCATGCCCTGTTTTTGAGTTGGCAGTTAGCAGGGCTGAGCAGGATACTTTGCTGCTGTTGAATGTCTGCCTCTGTTGCAGGGATCCTGTTGGATATACAGAAATACTTTGGGCTTAGCGATGGGAAGACAGGTCTGCTGCAAACAGGTAAGAAAATCTCCTCAGTTCAGACAGTTGGCTTTGCCTTACCCCTCTGTGGTCAGCTCCTAAAACACAGTCCAGTTACTTACCTCTTCTAGTTCCTCCTTGTCTGTGCTATTGCTCACTTCCACTTGTGGGCAGGCTGACTACAATGCAAAACTGAAAGTCAGACTCCAGTCGGGTCCTTCAAAAATCCCACGGTATGTGAATCACAGAAGACAAATGATTTTTCAAGAAATACAGAAGTTGAGTAATTCACACACATTTTATTGTTGTATAGATATTTTGAGTCTGCATTTGTCTTTTTCCAAATATCAATTCCCCTCCTAGTCCTACAAACTCAGCCTGCCTTTAATTCTTGCCCTAAAAAATAACCTGAGTTTATCTGAGGGGTGAGCAGTACGTATGACAAAAATAATTGGACTAATACTGTCTTTATTCATTGTTGGATTTTCAGTCTTCACTTTGTGTTACATGCTGGCTGCTCCCATCTTTGGGTACCTTGGAGATCGCTACAATAGGAAAATCATCCTTGGAGCTGGTATTTTCTTCTGGTCTGGTGTGACCTTAGGGAGCTCATTCATCACTGAGTCGGTATGTTGCTTTTTTAGAGGGTGCTATGAAAATAATCTGCATACAACTTGCAGGACTTTATAGAGTCCTTCTCTACTCACATTTGGGAAAGCATCAGTAACCACTCATTTCCCAAGCCTTAATCCTGGACTAAATATACTCCATGCAGGAATGCTTTATAGGACACTGAGTCCAGCCTAGGCAATAGAGAACCCACATATTATTGTTGCAATTGATGGGATTTTATTTTTGGTTTGTTGGTTTACATGTTCTCTATCCACCCTGTTGTGAAATTCCCTCTGGGTGTCACTCTGAGAAGTCACTGCTGTGCAGAAAAAGCTGAGCAGTGAGATGTGAGGGGAGCAGGTGTGAGTGGAGGAAATACAAAGGCAAAAGGCACTTCAATTCTGATTTCATCTGGTAGATTTCATCCACTAAAATTCCACTCTTTAACAGCGAGCTTTCTTTCTTGCATGGATTTCTTTTGACTATGTCTTTTCCCTGCAGCATTACAAGATATTTGTTCTTTCACGAGGACTGGTTGGCATTGGCTCTGCCAGTTACTCCACTATAGCACCCACCATCATTGCAGACCTGTTTGAGGAAGGAAAAAGGACCACAGTGTTATCTATCTTCTACATCTTCATTCCAGTGGGAAGGTTGGTTTTCTTACAGTGGCCTTTTGAAATTTCTGACCACACCTGCAATTCAATATACCCTGAGCCCTAATCAGATTTATTTTGATGTATTTCTACACTGGCTCTTGCAAAGGGATTTGTCACTTCCTCAGCAAGTTTGAATAGAGCTGATTAGGTGTATTTCTCTACTTACCTTAAAAAAAGATTACTTTTCCCCCCAAACATTTTTAAGGAGAATCTAGACTCTGGAAACTCTGGCTTTGAATAAAATATTGAATCAATGCTAAAAAAAGCATGTGCATGAGAGTATGTAATTTATTTCTGTGTTTTGGAAGACAAAAGCTTTTAGATATTAGTTTGTTCGACAGATTTTTCAAGAATCCTCCATTAAATATCTCCCAAGGAAGAGCTGCACTCCCCTCTCCTCTCTTAGTTAAATTGACATTGTGTCTGAAGAAAAGGTGGAGAAGAGCTTTTCAAATGGTTTAGAGGCATACTCTGTATCAGAGCAGGCAGCCTAGACTGGGCCCAGAAGGCAGATTAGAACTAAAGAAATTCCTGCAGGGCATAATTCCTGTGGCTAGCACAGAAGGGAGTAGGTAATAAAATGTTTTATGGGCTCTTTGATCCGAGTTTGCAGTGTTATTCTACAGAATACGTATTCCAAGGGGAATCTGGGACATTACTGTCATCATCCCAAGTCTGCTCTGAGGAAGTTAGACTCTCTTTTTAATACTGGTTGGCAAGCAAACTAGCACAGACCATGAGGGTTATTTCTCTAAGAAATAAGAGAAAAAACTGAGACAGAACACTTCTGTGTGTTCTTCTTAGCTGGCCAGACATGTCATTTCAGCCACCCAAAATTCACTGGTGCTTACTGATCATTCCTTTCTGTTGTTTACAGTGGTTGTGGTTATATGCTGGCAGCTGGCATGGCAGAAAGCACAGGTGACTGGCACTGGGCATTCAGGGTGAGTCTCACTTTCATTCACTCTAACATCAAAATCATCACTGGGGTTTGGATTCTTTATGTTCATTGTGTTGAAGGTGAGCAGTGGAAGGACTTCCTACCCTCTGACAGGTCAGGAATGCGATGTTTAGGAGAAGTTTTCCTGCAGGACAAGTAGCACATTTCTGCCTAGCTCTGATAGGTGTAGGTGAAATTGTACAGCAGCCAGGGCAGGTGCTGATGTTCCTCTTACCTGAGGGCACATTTAGAATGGTTGTCACTGCACCAAGACCTCCTCAAACAGAGGAATTTGAAGGTTAAATGGTCATTATACTGGTAGCACCAGTTTTCTGTTCTGTTCTGGTCATCATGATGTCTCTTACTGAGACACCCAGTGCTTTCAAAGTACTTTGTTAGAGCCTCATGCCTTGCATACAAAATCAGCTAGCAAATGCAGGTGAGTGGGGCAGAATATTTACTGGAGTAACACTGATATTATTCAGGTAACACTGGTGACTGCATCAGTGATTCTTGTGTTTGTGGCTAGAATACTACAGCACAGTTTTCTTTCTTCACAAGTTTTTCTTTAAAATCAGAGGGAAGAGTGATCATGTATCTGTATGCCCTTCAAAGTCACCAAAGTCACTCTTTTTCTTTACAAATATGGCCAAAACCAGCATACATCTATTTCTGAATATATCTGCAATTTTCTGATAGTGGTTCTAATGCAATTGGAATTGCTTCACTATAAGAAAACAGGTATCTTTGATCTAACCACCCTTGTGTCTACAGGTAACTCCTTGCATGGGAGGACTGGCACTGCTTCTCCTGATTTTACTGGTCCCTCACAGGATCCAGAGAAAGGCAGCAGCACACAGAGCAAGGAGCATCTCTGGCACGATATGCAGAGCAGATGAGAAGCCAGATGTACACAGAACTGCCAAGACCACTTGGTGTCAGGATGTGGGATCACTTGTCAAGAAGTAAGTGGTTTGAGCTACAAAGGTTCTCTCTGTTGAGGAGTCACCATTCCATTAGAAGGAATATGTCCATGGAATCCTGCCTAGCTCCTTTGAGCCACATGCTGTATGCAAGAGAATGGAAACACCATGAATAAAAATCTTTCTTCTACTTTTTTACAGGAATGCTACAAAAGAGATAAAACATTTCTTTGATTCTTCTATTCTCCCATTTTGAGAAGGAGGAGGAGGGCAAAGTTATGATGGCAGTTTGCTCCTATTAAAATCCATAGCTCTATTTTCTACTAAATTTTCCCTTCCCTATGGAAGCTGAATTACTAAAACTGCATAATTTTCTGGTGTAAATTTGTTTATAATTCTTAGTGCCTGAGGAAGGTTGGATTAGCATGTCACAGGCACTCTGTGGTATTTGGGAGCCTGCTGTGCACGAGGTCAGAGTTTGTGGGACCCCAATATGGTTTATAAAGTAATTGTCCATATGTTTTGATGGGCTGAGCTGTGGCTGGCAGATAACATCTTTTTAAGCACACAAAAATGAAAGCTGCAGCTGCCCCGCAGGACGGAGTGAAACGCGGACTGGAGCAGGTTCCTCGCTGCAGCGGCTTTGGGAACAGCAGGTGCCGCTGTGCAGCTGCGCCAGAGCCGGCTCCGCGCTGCCGCTGCCCGCAGGCTGCTTTCCCCATCCTTTTCCTTTAAACACTTGCTTTCCTGGGACCTTGTTTGTCTTTGGAGCGTTCTTCCAGACGATCCAGCGTTTTCTGACTGCCCGCTAAATCTGCTGCCTCTTTACATCCTCAACAGCAGGTACGCTAGAGATGGGTTTTGTAGGATCACAATTTGTAGGCACTATATCCTGAAGTGAATAATAAAAAACTTCCTGAATCAAAAATGAGCCTTTCAACGAGACTATCTCCAAAGTTGTTTTCCTATAGAGATGTTCCAGTGTAAAAATATTTTTTCATTTTCTTTTCCTTTAGCAACTGATTCCCATTTTCTTTTCCTTGGGCAATTGATTTCCAAAGCGTAAAGACATACTGACAATAAACTATGTGGTTCCACTTTTAATCAAGTCCAAGAGCACTTTATCTTTAGAAAATAGAGAATTAGGTTCATTTCTTAACAAATCCTCTGATTTGGTGGTCATCTGATCATTTGCAGCAGTCTTAAGATTTCATACATCCCTCTTGACCTCAGAGGGGTTTTTCTCCTGAACTATTAATGACAAAGAGTCTGGCAAAAAATTTGATTTTCTCCTAGAATAGGGCAGGAAGGACACAAGGTTTGGATAGTTTTCAAAAATGCTTCTCCTTTTGTCTGAAACTTGCTGTGGAGATTGAGTCTATTTTTACTTACTCAGAGTTAAGGAGTGCTTCAGCCACTGAAACTTAACAGTTCAAAAGACCCAGACATTATTCTCATTTATATTGGTTATAGAAAACCCTGAGACATTTAGACTTGCACATAGAACCCTTTCCTTTAGCTACTAAGCCATTAAATTCTTGCTCACTCTCTATTGTTATACTTCTGCTATCAAAAAAATCACAGCAATTGTTTTGGCAGAAGTTGGCATGAAGTCTGCAAGAGACCAGGATTTAACATGAAATCAGTAGGTCATACCCTTTGGTCTAATTAGTATTTTATTGTTGCCTTTCATAATAAAGCCTGATCAGAGTTCAGATATTCAAGGGAGCAGATTTTGATTACAAGATGTCTGAATGAATTGTTTTGTTATTGCTTGAAATTCTGGGTGTTGCAGGTAAGTTTTCCCTTTTTCCTCAAACACCATTCTTTCTAATATCTCTCAGTTGTTTTCTTTTGTCTTTCAGCTGTAGTTTTGTCTGTTCCTCACTGGGTCTGACTGCCATGGCCTTTGTCACTGGAGCCCTGGGAATGTGGATGCCACTGTTTCTGTACAGAGCTCAGGTTGTCCAGGGCATTGTCCCACCATGTCTCCAAGAATCGTGCAATTCATCTAACAGGTGAGCTGTGCCTGTGGGAGGATACCTGCAAACACTGCTCAGGGCTCAATAACAGCTCCAAAGGGGGAAGGGAGGATGTGACTGAGCACTTCTTGTGAAGGCAATGGGGTGTGAATGTTAAATTGCTCCCAGGTATCTGACACTCCCCTTTGTTAGTTTGTTTATAATCACTCAGTTAACTGGAAAGATGCTGTCAGCCCTATTTAAGTAAAGTGAGAAGTAGTAATAGCAACACTTATGGGGAAAAAGGAGCAGCTTTAGCAAGGAGTTTTAGTTGACAACCTACTTAAATCCCATTTAAGTATATTCAAATCCTGTGTTTTAGTAATTTGTCTATTATCTTCTTATTCTGGTTTTATAATCCCTGCCATGTTGATGAGTTCATTGTGGCTCCCAGCTTGAAGAAAGGTTGATGATTTTGATGTAGTATCATACCATCACATCAAACCAGGATCTTGTGAATAGCTGCCAGCTACAGAGCATGTCCAGACCAAAGAAGATTCATGAATAGTATCAAATATTATATAAGAAGAGGAATTGACACTAGTAGAACACTTTGAAGTAATCATAACACACCTTTTTGTAGGTCCCTTTTCCCCACCAAGGAAGAGTTTTTTCTTCACAGTGTGTTGTCCAGAATACAAATACGTATTCAATATTCCCCTTGAGTCTTCATGGCTTCCCTCAGTAACAGTGAGCACTGGGACTGACTCCCTGTCAGTGATCTCCATACAAGTATCCCTTTGTCTGGGAAGTATCCCAAGTCTTGTTTCAGTCTCTGCTTTTGCAATGGATTTCAAAGAACTAAGTGCTTACTGTGTGGCCTTTCCAGGTAAAGACAATTAAAGGGAAGAGCAGTAATCACACCTTGAATGTGTCCTCTGCTAATGGGATTTTTCTGTTTTTCTGCAATGGGATAACTGAGTCAACTCAGAAGTGATTTCTGAGTTGCAGCAAAATGAAATTGATTGAAGAGTCATCCCAAAATCCTTCAATGGGAAATGAATTGTCCTTCCATGGATGCCACCAGTGGCACATTACTTATCAATGAACATTAGTGGGAAGGGAGTGAAACACAGGAGTCTGGCTCAGGGTAGGCAGGTGAGGGAAATTGAAGAGTTTAAGATGTTTGGCTGTATCTGTTCATAGAAGCAGTTTAAGTACCTTTTTTGTTAAGCTGAAGGTGTTGGCCTCTAGTTTGTTTTCTAATCCACTTCTGAATTATTATTCCACAACAGTGTTGTTAGAGCAGACATGGTCTTCAGGGAAGTGAAACAGAGCATCTGATAGTTTAACCTCATGTACTGCTTCTTATAGGATGCTTTAAATATAACCTTGGCATAAGCTCATGCCAGAAGCAGCAGAAGGCTGGTTTTGGACTGTTATTCCAAGGGGATGTAAAGAAACAGAATATAAACTATTATGTCAGACCTGATGGTGCTGGAGGAACTGAGCTGCACATTGCCAAACCTACCCAGGGATACTTTAAAGATGTTTTCCCCTCTGGCTGTTCAGCAGTTTCAGATTTTGTTTAAGGATCAGGACTGTATCACTTAGACTCCTTGGAAACACAGACTCAAATGGCACCACAACTGACTCAAGTCCCAATCCTTTCAAGGAAGATAAATATGCAATGTGGAGTTTTTGTTCAGGCCTTTGTGCAAACACTTTTGAACAGATCTGAGAGATAAGTGAGCGTTCTCAGGCCCTAAAAGATCTCATAGGAGCCTTTCCCCAGTACTAGGCTTCTGTACTTTCCTAGTATCAACTGAACTGTGCTTGGATTTAGTTTTGGCCATTCTCTTTTATTCCAGCTGCAGGTTTGTTTCAACTACAGTTTACAGTACATGAATATTCTAAACACAAATCCATGAATGCTTCAATCAGCTAATGTCACCTTGGAACTTGCCTCTCTTGAAGAAATCTCTGAGATTGTTCTGCCTAGTGATAATCTATAATGTCACTATCAAGCTATAGTCAGTGATGGATCAGAATCCCGAAGAACTTGCAGGGAGAGTACAAATTTGCTTGAAGTTTGTTATCTAGCATAGTAAGACCTTTTTTTTTTCTTGTAGAATTATTGAGTTCTTCCTAATCAGCCAGAAAGAAATTAAGAAGTGAATGTGCTGTAGTTTAAAAGAACAGATCATAACCCAGCTGGTTACTTTGCAGTTAGAAAAAGCTCAGGAAAATGTACAGAACTTACCATGTGAAGTATTCAGAAGTGCTTGTGCTCAGAATATATTGGTCCTGTCCCTGTTTGCCTTCAGAGAATTATGGTGCAGTGGCACCACTGATGTTGTGTGAGAGACTTGCTTTGTCATTGGGGGGGTCTCACTGGGACAGAGATGAAAGCACACATAGAAGTCCCTTTGGAAGCTGAATATTCTAAACTATTCAGACATGTTCTTTTAAAACATGAACTTGTGGTTCCTGAAGAACACATTTGCATTTGGAGACACACAAAGCTGAATGGTATTGGAAACTCTGGATTCAGAAAATTCTACATAGACTTGGCAGTAGTTACCTATTCAGTATTCTGTGAACTCTTCTGGGAAGTGGTAGGTGTTTCCCATAGTCAGAGAAGTGATTCATCTCAGCTGTGCTAACCAGAGGGTTGTAATTTAGATGTGTTTCATTCCATGTGCTAGGATCTCTTCCAAGGCAGCAGATTGTGATACAAGGTTACTCCATCTGTGTTTCAGGGATGACTGGGTAGATTGATTCACAGGGTAACCACGATGACTGTGTCTCCTCTAAATCAAACCATGTCCAGATCACACTGAGCAGAGCCCTCCTTGAGCCTGGGTGCATAACACCTGCTCTGTAAATGGGAAAATATCTTCTCCACGGGATACAGCCACCATCACAAAGCCATAGCTTCAGCTGGGGCTTGGGATTGCATCCATTCAGAAGGAATGTTACAGTTACATCAAATGGAATAAAACTCAACTTCCCCATTAAAGATCCTTCTGAAACTACAGGTACAAGCTAACACCATTTATTTTTCCACAGTACAGTCTTACTATGCTCAGCTGAATCCTTTGCTTTGTCACCAGCCTAATATTTGGAGGCATCACCATTGGGACAGGAATTTTGGGTATTATTGCTGGGGCAGAAGCTGCAAGACGATTAAGGAAGAGAAACAACAAAGCTGATCCTCTGATCTGTGCCACAAGCATGTTCATTTCTGCCCTGTGCCTCTACATAGCTCTGATGGTGGCCCAGACAAACATCCTTTCCACTTTTGTAAGTGACAATTAGCAAAATGTCTTTTGGCATCCTAGGGAGAATGGGAAGGAGGAGTAGGAGGAGGTGAGGGGTGGCTTTTGCAGAATTCTCTGTCTGGTCTTCTAAACCATTGAGAGGTTTCAGTGACTTGTGACAAGGTATCCAGGTAAGCTCTGGGCTCTGATGCTCCCATAGCTGAGGTCTAACCTGTGAGAGCCACACTGGGCAGTCCTTGGTACAGCAGAAAGGGCAGTCAGAGCACAAAAACGGTGCCTCAGGTCCTGCAGAGTGCTCACATTGAACAGGAGAATAGGAACTCTGCATTTAGCTGCATTGAAACATGTCCCTTATGCAAAAATGTAGTTAAAGCAAGTCTCAATCTTATGTTAATTTTTAATGCTTTGTGGCTAATTTAATATTCTTATTTATTTTTGCTCTCTGAATTCTTAAAGGTTGGTGTAGTTTGGACTGTACAATATACACTGTTCTTGCTAAGAATAATTTAGCCCTCACTTTCAAAGCCTTAGATCACTAGCTGATCTTCAAAGTCAAGCTTTTGGCAATGCAAACTGAAGTAAAAATCACTTAAATTCCATTCTCAGGAAAGGGGAAAACAGAAACTTACTAGGAATGACAAAAAAAATCCCTGTAAGAGGGAACCGAATGTAAACCCTATTTCAGCTATAATCTGGTAACAGCTAGGGAAAGACTCCTGTGCTTTTTTCCTGTGACTCCACAGCCAAAATCACCATGATTAACATAAATAAGAGGATCCAAGTAAAGTAAATTACAGTAATCAACAGTTCTCTGCAAAAGGGCGCTTTTCCAGGTCTTTTGCTTCTAAGAATAATGCTTGTTCAAAGAGGTTTTCCTTCTGACTCCTCAGGAACGTGTATTCCTGTGGAAAAACACCTTTACACCAAGAGAAAGCACAAGTGGATTTTCCTGTCTGAGTGTGTGTACACAAAGCAAAATGTGAAATTGAAGATTATTTTTGGATCCAAGAGTGGGGATCTGAGTGCCCAGAAGAATTAGCCATTGTCTTTTTCTGCTTCTCAGAGTCCCAGAAAGCTCCACTCTTAGTGTGTTCCTCAGGGGATTTTTTGTCATTAAAGGCAGAGAATAACAGTTTAATTTGCCAGTCTGCATTAGACGAGTGAATCAATATATTTGTTTGGAACTACCAAAATACACCTTTTATGAGAATCACAGAATCACAGAACCAGAATTTTGGGTTGGAAGGGATGTTAAAGCTCATCCAGTTCCACTCCTTCTACTAAAAGTGCCACCTTCTACTAGACCAGGTTGCTCTAAGCCCCGTTCAACCTGGCCTTGAACACTTCCAGGGATGGGGCAGCCCCAGCTTCTCTGGGTGTCCTGTGCCAGGGCCTCAGCACCCTCACAGGGAAGAATTTCTTCCTTACATCTAATCTAAAGCATTGTGAAGGAAAAGATGTCTGGATAATAGTCTATACTATCTCAGTGCTTCAAGGAACTTTTTTCCCCAAACTGGTTTGGAGAGGAAAACAAATGAACAGAACAGAACAAACAGGAACGACAGGATGTATGGATATCCTAGGTTTATTATCTATATCTGTTACCTACAGGATATTTATAGGTACTCTAGGTATACTAGATCTAGTTCTCCTCTGGAGAATGTAAGCCACCCTTCCAAAAACATGAGTTTGTCACTGTGACTTTCCTAGACTGTGTTTTCATCAACCAGGGACAATATCTTGACCAAGACCTTACCAAACACAATGCTGGCACCTGTTGTAACAATGTGCCATCAGTTTAATTAGTTGATAAGAATAATGTGCCATGTGACTTTGTGGCCTGTGTTTCTGAAGAGATTCTGCTTTCTAGCACTGTTCCACCTCAATGGTGTAATTTAATGCTTTCCTCAGGTCTCACTTAGTCTAGGCAGGCCACTTCAATCTGTTGTCCAGAGCTGGCTGAAAGGGTTAATATTTTCTGAGACCACAGCTGTAAGAACTGTTCAGTGCCATACCCCTTTTCCTCATGGCTGGGTCTCCATCTGTGATGGATTAGGGATTTCCCACAGGACAGCAAGGTTTTGAGACTGGCTGTTCCCTGGAGTCCATTCCATTTTAGAAGTTCTCTCTCTAAACAAGCCCATTAGTATAGTATAGTATAGTATAGTATAGTATAGTATAGTATAGTATAGTATAGTATAGTATAATATAGTACAGTCATTGCTTTTTTCTGTTTTGCAGATTTTTATTGCATTTGGAGAACTGTTTTTGTCTGTAAATTGGGCTGTTGTGACAGACATACTGCTGGTAAGTGCTCATGAAACTATTTCCTTATTTCAAGTGTTTTGTCAATGTAATGTTGTTCCTAAGCCTGGTGGCTTTCTGGTGAACCAGCTCCTACAGAGAATCTATTGGTGGATTCTCTCTCAAGCTTATCCTGCTTGGAAACAATGTACTGCTAGGCAAGGATGCCAGTGGCAATAAGGTGCAGTGGTGCAGTAGTCCGAGTTATTATAATCCCAGGAAGATATCCTGATTTGGATTGAACTCATGCATGTGGTACTCTCTAGTGCTGCCTGTACCAGGTATTTTGGGCTTCTCTACAGCTCTGTGTGTCAGATATCTGCTAGAAAATGGTCTGCACCAGAAAGGTCATTTTGTGTCTATAATCAGGTTTTCTATTTGTTTTCCAGAGGTTTGAAAGGATGATCCAAATGAGGCAAAATTGATAGTCCATGAACTATTAGCAAGTTCCCTTAGTTCAGAACTCAGTGCAGATGAATTCCAGCTCTTGCAAGTCCAATTCATAAGTGCTGCTACACTGCCAGAGCATCAGGCCAGCAGTGATGTTTAAGGGGCTCTTGGGAATTCCAGGACACCACAAGCCAAGGAATAGCAATGCATGATTTCATTTGGATTCTGTCATCAGTGATTTCTTTAGAAAGGAGTGATGTGAAAAGCACACATCTTGTAGCGCAGTTTGTCTAGACTGTGATGAGCAGCCTCTTTTTATCATTTCAAAGGTTTTTGGAGTTAGTAATTTTACTTGAGTTTTTACTCTAAATAAAAATTTGGCAACCTTTCATTTGGGTTGTAGCTCCACAGTCACTAATAGATGTCTGTGTAAACCCTGGGGCAGATACTATGATTGCTGAACTACACAGATCATTATAGTCTTATCAAGTAGTTTAAATAACCTTTCTTTTATATAATCCATTATATGAACAAGTTGAATACGGTTTATCAGTGCAATAAGCAAAGAAATGCTCATATCTAATAGTCAGACTGCAGAAAGCTGTTTTAAATACCAAAGTTATTTATATGATTGACAATTCTTTTGTTGCTACCTGTGGGCATAAGACAAAATATTTAAATTGACACTACCCTTTTTTATGAGGAGTAGAGTACTGGGTCACCCAAGGGACCCAAACTCTCTGCTTTGGGATCCCTGTGCTGAAAAACTGTGGATGTGATGGTAACCCAAATATTTCAAGCAGGAAGCTCCCTGTGAGACAAGGACTGTTCACGCAAGTGTGGTACAGGTACAGTAGTGCTGTAGATGGCACTGAAAGTGGGGAAATTGTGTAAAGCCATCAGGAGAAGTGAGAGAAGTCACAAAGTTAAGGGACAGAACAGAGATTTTTGACTGTTTCTTCCCAAGCAAGAGTCACATGAGTGTTTCCCATTTTGTGTAATAGTGTTTCATTCCAAGGGAGCTGAAATCTATTTGAAGATTGCTACTGCAAACTCCACACTCATAATAAATCTTTCATTTAAGAACCACAGTGAGTGCATTCATATGTAGCACAACATGTAGCACTGCACAATAGCAGTTCACAGGAAGGACAGGAATAAAACCTTGCAGCCTGTGGCTCCAGTGGGACACAGGTCACTGTCCCTTGCTATCACAGGAACTGGAAGTTTACCCCTGAGGTCACTGGCACTGTGGTCTGAGTTGCTCAGATATACAATTTGCTTGTATCCCTACTGGCTAACTAAACCCAAGTAGTGGACAAGCTGAGCAGAGATAAAAGTATCCCTATTACAGTGTCTGTGTAAAAGGATGAGAAAGTGTATTGCCAAATGCTGAGCACTCTCTGGTGACCAAAGGGACCAGCTGTGAAGCACTACTGAATTCTCCTTCCACTGCCTGACCTTGCCTTGATAGGAGTCTGTTTATCTTTGTATTTCATAGCTGAAGAACCTTTCTTTACATTCTAATTGGGATGAAGGAATGGAGCTACTGACATTTCATGGGTCTTCAGCAAAGTCCTGCTGACACTGACTGTGCATTATGTTCTCTTTCACGGTGCTGCTCTCTACATGTCAGTTTTCTGCACTCTGGAATTTTAATAAAATAGTAAATAATGCAGTCAGCATTAGTCAATTGGCTGCTTGCTTAAAATCTCAGCCAGCAGCCAAGAGGGTTTTGATTCTTATTTGATTCTCACAGAATGGTCAGAAACAACTATCCTATAAGAAAAGAGCTGAAGCCTTGCTGCAGTGGACAGGTGCAGAAAAACTATCACTGGTCCAGACTGACATTTTTACTTATCTTCTATTTATTTTGAAATAATTGGGGTTCTTTGCACCAGAAGCAAGTATAAATACCATTGCCATTCTTTTTACATGAATTGAGTCACCAATTTTTTTTCAGTTTTTCAATTTACTTCTCTTTGAACTCTTACATCTGCATTTTAATTCTGTGCTCTGTTAAAGAGGAAGGTGACATCACTGAGTTAGGTAATGGTGATACATGGTGAGGAGAATGAGGCAGATGGTTACTATCAGCTCTTTCTTTCAATTCCTTCCTCAGTCCAAACTGCAAAGCCTGTGAGGAACAGGGCTTTTGTTCAGTTCCATCACTCCAGGCTCAACTTTCTCAGGGAACGCTGCATCACACTGCAGTCCACAGGAAATCTGTGGGGAGCATCATTGCCATATCCTAGATCCATGTAAATCTAGAAGAGAAGTTCTTGTCTCCCAGGTGACCAACATTCCTAATTTCCATTTCTTTTATGATATAGTGGTTACCAGCAATATCGTGTCAATTGACATCAAGTGGGGAGGTGAAAGATTTGGCATAGCAGAGCTCTGTGGTGCTGTGTTCCCCTGGGAACAGACATAAAGGTTATTACCACAAATGTGCTTTGGGTTGGATCTCTTGAATTCTAAATGCTACTAATTGTTTTATTAGAAAAATGATGGAATTGAGCTGAATTTGTAGATGTCTGCTCATTCAGTGGCAATCTTATTTGGGAGTTGTGTTTCATCCAGTTGAAGCCCCATGAGTTCAGTGTATTACTGCTGTATCTTGACTGAAGGGTGCCATAGATAACAGCAGTAATTTAGCTTTCTGCCTCATTTCCTATGTGATCTGGTAGGATTTCTGATAATGTAGCTGGATTTGCTAATGCATGTTCTTATTTTGCCATGAAAATGACTTTTCTTTCTTCCCACATGGCACTACTAGCCAGACAATGTAGCTAGGAATTAATTTCTCCTGCGACCTGTGGAGCTGAAGACAAAGGAAGATGCTGACTGAATGATAAGGACTCCCTCCCTTTGTGGCTGGTGCATCAAGAGGCATTGCATGTAGCCACCTTTGTGCCTCCTATTCAGTGTAAACACAAAGGTATCTGCTGTACAACTACAGTCCTAATGTGCAGGTGGAGAAGTGCTGTAGCTGCATTGCTGGTTTACCAGGAGCTGTACTTGGAGTATTCCTTATGAAACATGTTTGCCATCTATGAGGTTATGGAACTCTGTCTTTTAGGGTTTTGGCAGCTAATAGTGTAGGAGATGCTGGAACTGGAGGGGTTTAGGAAGGCTACCAACATGTCCCTGTGTTTGGAAGTGCCCTGGAAGGTACAGGAGTGTTCTCCAGCCTGTGTGTTCCATCTGCTTTTCTAGCTGACAGCTCTGTGGCAGAGTCTGCAGGGGGGTCTCTGAAGAGAGAAACCTCCAGAGGCAGCACGAGGGATCTGCGAACTCTACCTGTTTGGGGCATCTGCTTCTCTGTCCAGGCATCTGGGCTGGATCTCCTCAGAGGAGGGGTGCTCAGCATGTCATCTCCACTCCTGCCATGGTGTGGGGTCCTGGGCTCACTGTGGCCAGACAGGACCCCATGGCTACTTCAGAGTCCCTATGGGAAGGTGCCTTTTGTTTCTTCTTTTCCTAGTGAATACCACAGTACCTTGAGCTCTTGAGCACAGTTTCTGTTGTGCAGAAGAACCTGAGTAATAGCACAGGCAGGGTTTGTATGAGCCCTGAAACTATAGGAAACATCCTGTCCTTCTCCTGTATTTTTCTTGTTACAGTTTTGCTCTGTCTCTTGTAATTGCAGATATGGGTTATTAAATAAAGGTAATAAGGAAGTGGTGCAAGGCACTGGGAGAACCAAAGTACATTTAGCTTTTCTCATGCTTGCAATGCCCATGATATATTAAGTGCATAACAATATTTGATTTGCATTTCTCAAACAGAGCCTGTCATTATCTGTAAAAGAAATTTGAGTCTAGGACAGATGACACAAAAACCTCGGAGAGCCAAGAGCTGACAGTCTCCAGTCTAGTACAGTCTGTCATAGCCAGGTCTGCTTCCCAAGCTCAGAGTTTTCTACTGTAGTTTTTTTGTTTCTGTTTGTGAACAGAGCCTGTTCACAAAGTGTGCATGCTCATCATCCAGGCAGGTTCTGAGACGAAAAAAATATGGGTAGACTGTACACCCTCAGTTTAGGCTTTCTCCTGTGTCTTCCTTTCTTGATTTTTTTTTTCCTCAGCAAAACACGCTGAACAGTAAACAGTGTTTGAATATGAAATAAATAAAAGTTGCTCTGTCGATGTCTCTGGGATATTCTAGAAGCAGCTGGGCACTCCTGAAGTTCTGTGTGTTGATGTTCCCTCTGCTGTGGGCTGTGCTTTGTTTCAGTACGTGGTGACACCGAGGCGACAGTCCACAGCCATCGCCCTGCAGATTTTGGTGAGCCATTTGCTGGGAGATGCAGGCAGCCCATACCTCATCGGAGTTGTAAGTGAATTCTCTCCTTACTGAGCTTTTCTTAGGGTAAAACTTCTGGAAACTGAAAGACACTCACAGAATCATAGTAACTACCTGGTTCAAAACCAGAAATTACTCAAACTTCTCTGCCCTTCCTACATTTTCTTGAACTTAGGTGCTTCTGCACAAATCAGCCTCATACTGCTCTCTCTGTGCAGTTAATTAATTCTGTATCTGTCAGTCTCACCTCCTTCCTTCATTAATTTTAAGACACAGTAGCCAACAAAGCACCCATTTTAAGTTTTCTGCTTTACTTGACATGGGAGACTGAGTCTTTGTTGTTGATTTAAAGTTTTGTTTGTATGAGAGTTTATTTAAAGAAGTTTACCCCATGTTGACAGTGTCAGGGTTAGACAGGGCCAGCAATGCCCAAGTGAGCTATGCCTGCACAGCTGCAGCTGGCCCAGCCACACAGGAGGTTCCCCTTGTCCTCAACTGTATAATCTGTCTGGCAGAGAAGAGAGCCTCTCTCCCTGAGGGATTACTCCTACTGACTTCCTTTCTTTGGCAAATGAAGAAACCACTTTGCTCTTTAGGGTTAGGAAACTCTGACTCTCACACTTACCTGACTGGATGTGTGTGGGAATACAGCCACCAACATCCCTGTGGAAAATGGCTGAAATGGGATGCAAAAATGGGCTGAAATATGAAAAAAAAAAAGCTGAAATATGTCTTGTTCATTCTCCCTTTGACCAATCTATTGATTTGAACTTTCTACCTGAAAGATTAAACTGTTTGTGCCTCTTACCCACTTTGTGTTTGTGTCCTTTGCCCTCTTTGGAGCACGGGCAGAACTGAGGCCTTGTGCTGCATCCTGCCAGTCACTGTGGGACCTGCAGAAATCACCTTAAAGAGCAGCTCATCAAAAAGAGTGAAGACAAAAAAAAAAGCTTATCCAGATGAGATTAATCTCAGCTAGCCATGTAACATCACACAGAACAGAGTCAATAAACCCAGCAATAAAACTGCTGTGTGTCCAAGTGGGTTCCTGTATATTGAGCACCCACATTGTCCTCTGGAATGTTCTGTGAACCCATACACCAGCACTTCCCATGACTGCTGTTGGTTAAACACCAAATCTTCTGCTTTCATATCCTGATAGTGTTTCCTAACCTGCTTCAGCCAAAATTTTAGCTTAAAATCTGGCTGAATTTTCTTTTTCAGAGCCTGTTTTCATTCCCTCTACACTCCAGAGATTTTTTTTTCACTAAGCATTTTAAAATTAAATGCATTAGGTTTGTATCATGGCTGTTATGCTTGCTGTAGTCCCTAGATACCCATTTAGAGTCAATCTTCCTCTTATCTTCCCAAACTGTCATAAATAATCATAGAAACCCAGCAAAGGTTGAAGAGTCTTGTATTTATGCATTTCAAGTCACACAGTATATTCTAACCATCAAGAACAAATGTGAGAATAAAAATGACTGCTTTCATCGTTTATCTTTTTGTTTATGCTAAAAAAAATTTCAAGTGTTGAATCCTACTGAGTTTCTGGAAATCAGATTTTCCTTCTGTCTACAAAAATAAAGTTCATAATTTATAGCCTTTACAACCTCATTCTCCCACCAGTGCAAAAAGCACCTGCCTGGTATTTTCTTCCTTCCACTTACTCACTGTCACTCCATAACACCTCAAGTGCCTTTTCACTCAAAAGCAGACCTCACTCTTAGGTTAATTTCCATCTTTTCTCTGCCTTATGAGTGTTGCTTGTGCCTGAATTGCTGCTTGATCCCATTTCTATCCACTGGATGCCAATAAGGGAGGTGGAAAATTACTGAATGGGATCAAGAAATACTAAAGGTCACTGCCCATCCTGTGCTGGCAATCTAGAGATGGGCTAGGAAATGGTAAAATATCTTTCCTGCCCTCATGACTGGAGGCACTGAAGGTGTAAAACAACGAGATTCCTCAACCATTTGGAAGCTGGAGAGCAGTGGAGTACAGGTGTGCTTGGTACTGGGTTTGACAAACTTTGGGAGCAGACTCTCATCCCTGTCTGCCTCTTTTACTCTTTTCAAGCCCCACACTGTAAACAGGAGAGGATGGAGGTGTTATTCCAGATTAATGTCAGCCTCGTTCCCTCCCCAGATCTCCAACGCTATCCAGGCCAGGAACATCCCATCGTTGCAGTGGAGTTTCCGGAGCATGCAGTACAGCTTTGCCATCTGTGCTTTTGTTGGGGTCTTTGGAGGAGGCTTTTTCCTCCTGACATCTTTCTACGTCGAGGAAGATCGGAAAGAAGCCCAGAGGCTCTGAGGTGTCCGTGTTTATAAATTCTAAACCCAGGTGTGGTGACCTGTTTGGACACCAGCCATGGTATTGTCTCTGTAACATTAAACCATGCTAATGTCTGCCTTATGGTAATGCCACATCAGTCTCTATAAAAATGATCAGGGCAAAATCCCAGTGAAGTCTCAGATTAGACAAACCTCACACATCGAGCAAAACAGACCACAATGCTCACAAACAAAATTGCTGTTAGTGCAAAATGCTGCAGTACATGGAAATAACATCCTTTACTGTAATGCACCCCTGCATGCACCCTTCATGGAACATGAGGTTCTTTTTCTACTCTGATCTTTCTCAGCCCTATAGAACTAGTCCTGACTCTCTCTAGCAGTTCTTCCTCTTCCCTGGAGGAAATCATGTTCAAAGTGTAAAAGACTTAGGAAAAAAACTTTTAAATTGGACAGAGCCCTGTCCTCAAGCACCCGGATTCTTACAGCCTCCTTCTGCTCTGACTTGCTTATCCAGGTACCAGCAATGAACTGTCCCTCAAATGAAGATGAACTCTGGAGTGAGATTTGCACAGAAGAAAAAGAAAGTCCCCCCTTTTTTCTTTCTGTTTTGCTTAATGATATACAGCTGGGGAAAAGGCCAAATCACAATTCCTCCATATGGCAGAAAATCCTGCATACTGACTTTTTTGGATGCTTTTGACTGCAAATCAAAAATTGCTCATGTATTGGCATATGGCAACTCTCCTCCCCCCATCTGTAACCAGGGCCTTGTCCTCTGTGGGGCTGGGGAGCTCCAGAGGGTGCTTTACAGAGCTGTCACCAGCATGACTGCTGACCTCAACACGGCAGGAGCTTTTGAGGCACAGCATCTCCTGGAGATTAGGGAGGCCTACGAGTTGTCAGCAGGATGAGATTTGCTTGTAGAATTTAGTAAAAGTAGATAGTAAAAAGAGTGTTTTAAGTTGTCTAAAATGACCAAGAGAAGCAAAAACTATCAAAGTCATGTCAGATTCAAGACTGGAGGGTTGTGATAATTTTATATGTAACATCTTGATGGTATGCCTCTTCCTAATACTTGGAGGCTCTTCACTGTGTACTCAGGCCTTGAGTAATTATCTCCAGCAGTAGCACTGTAAATCCACTTAAATAAAACTGTCCATTTGAACTCTTATCTCCAAAGTGAAGGGGATTTGGGATGTGGTATCTGTTGTCACAATATCATGCCAGGTACCAAACAGGACATGACCAGTGTGGCCAACTTGCATTGTTTGTCCTGGCTTAGTTCCCAGTAGCACCTTAAATCCAAAGCCTGAGGAGGATATTGGCAAGTGCATCATAAAATGTTGCAAATCTTGCATTATTCTCCCAGTAAATCACAAGGATCATAAAGCACAGTATTCCTATAATGACTGTGAATGTCTAATGCCACTGTAAATAGCATAATTCAGCTACTGCAGGTGTTTGCTCTTCCCTCTGTCTACCTAATATTTAAAAAATCTGTTCTGAAATCTGACTTAAACTTAGGTCATGAAATGTGGGAAATGATAGAGAAACTTTGTGATACTCAGTAAGAGCATAGTAATTGTCTTTAAAATAAAAGTTTGTGTTCTGAAAGATTGAGCAACTTTTTCTGGTTGTAAAAACTAGCCATGGCCATTACACCACTGAACTCTTGGAAACTCCTGTGGTGCCAGAGAGCCCATATCCAAGAAGGGATTTTTTGATATGAATGCAAAAGCTTGCAAAGGTCCTAAATGCTTCAGCCATGGCAGGATTTCAGCAGCTCCATGTGCTTCTCTATCAGTATATTCAGGATTTGCCCTGCAAACATTGAGCAATTTATCACCTTTGTTATGTCAGCATAAACTCCTCTTTAAAAAATTCATCAGAAGCTGCACAGGCACACTGTGCAGGCACGTATTTGACATATGAGCAAGAGATGCCAAATGCTGCTCCATAAATGGTACAAGCAGTCCATGGCAAACTCCTTCCTACTCCTGCTCCAATCTCCTCTATGTAAGGCAGTGCCTAGAAATGAGCAGGATCACACTGGCTAGTCATCCCATCTTCCTGAATGCCTCTCTATTTTCATTGCAATTTATGGGCAAAGGATGTGTATTTTTGTTACTTTTTTTTTGTGCATTTATCAGGACTAACAACTGGATAATCTGAGCTGTGCCTGGTCCTCCCTGGAGCTGCCCTGTCCTGCCTCACTGAGAGCTGCTGGCCAAGGCCATGGAGAGATGCAGCACCTGCATGGAACAGCCCAGGGAGCCTCTGTCTCCATGACAGGGGAGCTGTTTCCATCAGCTGCTTGGTCCTGTCTCTTAAAGATGGAATTTCCTCACAAGGATTTGGATGAGGAGTAGAATTTCTCAACATTTTCTGCATGCCTTGACTTCACTTCTTAGTGGGTGTCACCAAATTCTGCATGGAGGGGTTATCAGCGCTGGGAGGGATGTGCTGCACTGTAGCTGTTTCAGACATTACAATCTCTTCATGCCAACAACAACCTGTGTTAGGGAAAGTCACAGAGTCCTGGCACATGGCCAGTGAAGGAACAAAGGTTTTCAGGCCTCAACTGAAATGCCAGTTGTTTTCTATGGTTCCAGTTGAGTACAAGTAATAGGAAAATGGAGGGCTTTAAATAAAGTTCTTAAATCAGCTGCTCTGTCTACATTCAAAAGAGCTGCTGCTGGAAGCTGCTGGTTATTGAGATTGTTTGTTCTGCAGCATTCCTGCTGCAGGGAATCTGTCTCTTGCAGCAACTGAATGATAATCAAATAAGTTGTCAAAATGTGTATTTTCTGTAATTGTTTGTATATTTTCCTCCTAGCCTTAATATTTGTTCTTTCCAATCAAAGTAGTGAGTAAGAGGCACTTTGAAACAGCTCCAAAAGGTGGGATTTTATAAGTCCATTCAGGTAATCCTTTTGATCTTTTCCTCCCCTTCCCTCATTCCCAAAGCAGGGACAGGTGACCTTTATTGCTGTTTGTGTGAATATTTTTTTAACAAGTTTTAGAGCTCTGCTTTGCATAAAAATTGCCTTCAGAGCTGTGATTATTTCTAGGTTTTGCCAAATGCCTGTAAAGCTGTCCAGTGGGCAGGACATGTCTAAGTCACAGGTTGTGTAACCACCTCCCCAGAGGGTTCACTTCTTCCACTAGTGATATGGTGTGACATTGCTGTCAGCAGAATTTTAATTGCCAAAGATGTTTCATGTAACTTCTTTTCTTCCTTCCCAAACCAGTAGCCCTTTTCTCTGCTCTGGAAAGGATTTCACAGCAGCTCAGGAACTTTCTGTGCTGTGGCTGAAGGTGCAGATGGCAGAGCTTGGCCTCCCAGGCAACAGATTTGGAGATCCTGTCTGGGTTTCTCTCTCCTAAGAACATCTTGTGGTTTGTTTCTCATTGCCCTCATTACTTCTGCAGCTGAATTGTCTTTTGCAAACTGTTTTGTAGAACAGCTGTGAACTTTATAATGCTGCTGATGTAGCCATGGGTGTCAAAAGTGGGGACAAAAGGCTCAGGGGATGGTTCTGAAGTGCCTGTGCTGAGCCTGGGTCAATTATGACTATTCAGAGTTGTACCAACCCTGATGGCTGGCTTTTTACTAACTCATTCCTAACTTCCACTGAAAAATTCAGCACCTACACAGCTGCCCTGGGTCAGTACTCCAGCAATGAAAATTGGTGTTTCCCCCCATATTTTATTTATATAGAATAATTGGTTGAATTCTGTCTTGCTCCTCTCCCCTGCACTTGTCTCCCCTTGTAGCCCTGCACTGCCCAGTGACTGGAGCTCACCTGATGTCTTTACCATTAGGTTTAGAATCTGTAGAATTCCTGTATGGAAAGTAAGTTAAAGGAGGTAGAGACTCTCCACCTGAGAATAGCATCATATGAGTCCAGAAACGCCCAATCAGCCATATTTATGCTGTAGCTGATTTTAGTTTTTTCTTAGCAGTAGATCCATCACTTCTGCTTTTGCTTTCCCTTCCTCACAATACAATGCACATGCAGTTGTATGTCTGTTGAAATAAATTCTGAAATAACTAAGAAAGCTAAAAGTCCTCCATTATCCCCAAACTTTTATGGCAAAGGTTTTCCTGAGAGATCCTTCTGCTGATTTGCAAACACTGTCCATTCTTCGGCCTCCTTTGAGCACTGGGTTCTCCCGTTGTGCCTGTGAGGGTGCCTGGGACTGGGAAGCAGTCACCTCATCCCTTGGAACAGGCAAAAAACCCATGACAGAACAGTGTGCCAAGTCAGGCTGGCATTCAAGTAGCTGCAAGTGGCTGTATTCCATTACAAGAGAGCAACTGGATTCATCTCAGTGCTATAATTACCCTCATTCTAATCCAATAAAGCTTTGGAAAGGTTCTTAGAAAGCTTTTGGCTTATAAAGGAAACAAAGGTTAATACGAGGAGGCTCTTGATCCTGATGCTGTGTAGCTGATCAAAATTGTGTGGGTCTCACTTTGTGTAATTTTATGTTTCTGAACAGTTTTGTTATTAATATGTAAATTGCCTACATCCCCTGCAAGAGTCAAATGGCTGTAATTGGAGAGATTAATGGACATGCTGTCAAATCCCATTGTAGGAAGGTGCTTTGTAAATGCCTCATTAGAAGTGCCCAGATTTGGAATGTGGTGTATCCCAGCAGGCCTGACCTTGCCAAGAGAGCTGGGGCAGGCTTGGGAAGCACACCCTGTGTCCCTAAAACCAGGGTTCTGTGCAATGAGCAAACCCAACCTGCCCAGGACTCAGCTCACACTGTGGCACCAAGGTCTGACTTTATCTGCTCATACACTCTGGTGGGTCTTTTCCTACAGTTAATATTTTTCTATAATATTGTGAAAAATTCTTTTAAATTGAATTCAGAGATAAATTTATGCATTCGTGTATGCAGGTATCATTTGCTTTTCAGTATCAAATGTGTTGGGCAGAAGGCTTGAAACTGATATAAAAGGATGGAAAGAATAATTTTTGAAAGTTCTGACTTCAAGCTACCTGTTTAATTCTACCAGCATGTACCCTAGGAAGGGGCCTGACTTTTTTCATTCCTGTTTTCCCAGGAGTCTTGTATCCCTCAGTTCCTAACGAAGGCAGGCTATGTCACTTGTCATCAACAGTGAAGAAGATCAAGCCATTTGCTTAAAGATTTAATTATTGGTTTAGGAGCCTAATTTTAGGCACATATGTTTGAAATCTTGGTTGTAGGCATTTTCTTCAGGAAAATAAAGGAAAATACCCTGCTTAATGAAAACATCACTTTAAGAAATGCAGGTCTGCGTTGCTTAATCTTTGGTCTAGTAAAGAGTGCAGCTGTTAACTTCTGCACAGCCTTTTGTCTTGGCAGGTTACATGTTCAGTGCATGAATTTCATTTTTGTGTATTGACAACCCAGGGCAGAGATGTCACTGGAACTGGTATGGCAGAGGTGGGAGCAGGCAGAGCTGTAAGTGAGGACATGAACTGAAAAAGAATCCTGAGTTCTTGCTGAGAATATTTCTGCAGTAAATGAGGTGAAAAAATGTTTCTTCAACCCATTTGGATAAACGTGGATTTATCCAGTAGTGGAATAAAATGTGGATCACAGTAGAAAGGAGGACCCAGGGCCATCAGCCTGCAGTAAGGATGGACCTTTGCTGCTGCTCTCCCTTCTCTCTTGGAATTCTGGCCAAGGGAAACATGTCACAGCAGGCAGGGAGTGCTGAGAGCCCCAGGTGGAAGTGCAGGAAGAAGTGAGCAGTAATAGGAACAAATGGGAGGAATGTCCTTGTTCATGCACTGACATCCAGCATCCAATTCAGCAACAATCTCATCAGGATTTCAAAGAAATGTCCAAATAAATTTGTTCCTTTAAGGGATTTGTTTTAATTCTTCATTAAAATAGAAGTTATGTATGCATTTCCCCCTCAGCCCACTGTTTTAATAGGATTACCTTTAGCATCAACCCTATGGACTCTTTTAATTTTTCATTCCAGATCTTCTATGTGCAGCTGTCTCAGCAGATCCAATCAGGTGCATTTCATTGCTCATCAGTACAGGAGGAAATTAATTTTTCTGGTGAGGGGAAAGCACAGTGAATAGCTGAATTCCCCTCCCCAAATACCATCTGCAGTCAGTTTTGTGCCACAAATGGAGTCAATGTTTTCCTGGGTCAGAGGTGCCTGATTATTCATAACACTTTCATTTCCAGCAGCAGAGTCATCCCATCCCTGCCAATCATCTTTCTGTTTTGTGTTGGGTTTATTCTACAGTGCTCTGAGGTTTGCAAGTCTAGCTGCTCTCCAAACTCCTCCTGTTCTTTGTTGCTTTTCCTGGGCTAGTGCCAGCAATTCTCAGCTTCTGAAGAGACCAACAGGAGGACTTTGGCACCCAACTTTTGAAACTGTATCTCTTGAAAAAATAATGAAATGGGAGGGAAGGAAGAGTATAATTCTCAGTTCACTTGTAAGTAAACAAAAAAAAACCCAACTGAGCAGTATTTTACTGAGAGGGAGCAGTGTCATCTGTAGGGTTGTTTTTAATGGTAGTAAAGCCCAGAGAAGTGTCTTG